GGAAACCCCAAGAATGGTTCTTTTTTCCTCAGATGTCCACATTTTATGTTTTCTAGATAGCTCAGCATTTATCCAAGCTGGTTTTTAGTTTAGTTTTGTTTAAATGTAAACACTTTTTTTTTTTAAGTTAGATGGACATCTTTCTAGAATAACTTTGCCAAGGTCACACAGTGAGTACATTGCAAAGCCAGGATTTAAACCCAGATCTAGTAGGCCAGGGATCCTCAATCTCTGGGCCACAGACCAGTACCCGTCCTTGGCCTGTTAGGAACTGGGCCACACAGCAGCAGGCGAGCAGCAGGTGAGCGAACGAAGCTTCATCTGTATTTACAGTCACTCCCCATCACTCATGAACACCTGAGCTCCACCTCTTGTCAGATCAGTGGTGGCATTCGATTCTCATAGGAGGGTGAACCCTATTGTGAATTATGCATGTGAGGGATCTAGGCTGGGAGCTCCTTGTGAGAATCCAATGCCTGATGATCTGTCACTGTCTCCCTTCACCCCCAGATGGGACCGTCTAGCTGCAGGAAAACAAGCTCAGGGCTCCCACTGATTCTACATGATGGTGAGTTGTAAAATTATTTCATTATATATTACAATGTAATAATAATAGAAATAAAGTGTACAATAAATGTAATGCACTTGAATCATCCTGAAATAACATCCCACCCCTCCAGTCCATGGAAAAACTGTCTTCCAGGAAACCTGTCCCCTGTGCCAAAAGGGTTAGGGACCACTGTGTTAGGCCACCAAATCTTTGCCCTACAGATGTGTTAAAAACTACTGGGTCTAATTTTTATAATTTACACGACTCCTTCCCCACTGGCAGGCTCAATCATCATTTCTCTTCTGACTATGAAAGACTTCTTTTCTTGTTTATGTTGCATCTGTGTCATCCATGCCAGGTACTTCAAGGCTGAATTGAAGGAGTCTGATTTATTGAGAGTGGAAGATCCAGTAATCATAATCATAGTGATCTTATATGACCAAACTCAAAATGCAACCTTCATAATTATACAAACTATAAAGAACTTTGGATATAAAAGACCCTAAGATTTGGTAAAAGAATTTTCGTTCTACATCCTTGAATTTAACTACATAATTATGTTGTATACATCCTCTGGCAGAGTAGAAATGGAAAGGAAACATCTTTTGAAAGAGGAGTGGCTTGTATTTGGAACCAGCAGCGACCAGCTTTGCTCATTAGAGAGAAGTTCAGAGGGCACTAGAGCTTGAAGACACCTTACATGTGATTTTAATGCTACCACATTCATCAAGAGATGAGGGCAGTTAGACTCAGAGAAGCAGCTTGCCCATGGCTTTATGAGTTACTGTGCAATTGCCATTGTTTAAAGGGTGGTTCATTTTAAAACATACAAAGTTTTAAGCACACGTCAATCATATACAAGAAAATTTAGCCTTCAAGGCATACACCATGCATTATTTTCACCTGTTATGGAGTGGATGGAGTTGGGGGATGGGGACATAGCAATGTGTTGTCCAAACACACGCCTGAGATTTTGCCTCTCTTGTATTCTATGAAAGCTTTCTGGGTCCAGAGAAAATGGGCTAAGTGGTAGACCAGATGACCAGGTATGAAAAAATGGGCATTCCATGCCCACAAGCTGTAAATAATTCTACCCAGAGCAAAATAACAATGTACTGGGAAGGCTGGTGTTTTTCCCAGATGTTTGAATGGGGACGAAGACTCTTCTTTGTAGTTGTGGAGAGGTTGGCCTCATGGTTTCAAAGGGGCCAGATGTGGCTTTGGTACCGTCTGCATATTCTCTGGATGTTTTTCCATAACAAATGATGTCTCTCTAAGATGGTAAGCTCAGAGAGAACAAGTGTCATCTGCCTGGAACAAGAACAAGCATCATCTAGCTTTGCTTGACTTTACCACTGAGTGACTTTCTGCCAGAAAGCAGGGAGCGGGACACAGCTTCAGAGGCTCAGTTTCTCAGAGTTGCTGACTTCCTGACTGGTGACTAGAGGCTGGTTTAGGCAAGGAGGTGGAGTGAGGCACCCAGACACCAATGATCCCGCCAATCCTCCCCAAAGAAAACACGTACCCAAGTGCCCTCTGAGGCTGTCCCAGTAGAAGGTCAGAAAAGCACCCTGCATGCTTAGATCACCCAGTGTTAGAAGGGAATGTTGTGGATTCTCATTTCTTGAAGCAGGGATCTCATTAAAAATGATATTCTTTCCAGGTAAATTAAATTGTCTCCATTATAACTTTAGCTCTACAAATAAATTTTTGAGGAAGACAAAAAGGGAGCTTTCTCTGGGGACCAAGGGAGCAGGTGGCTCTAGTATAATTTTACATGGAATGGGGGATTGGGATATACATCCTCTAGTGGTTCCATTCAGCCCAAGAACCTAGGACTCCACAATCTTGCCATAGATTGAGGGAGATTCTGGGCTTTTGCCCTTGCCAGGTCCCTGATATGTCCCAAGACCCTGGTCAAAGAACTGCCAGCTCATTGGGCCTTACCTTCTCCACCTGTAGCACCAACTGGGTCATAGGTGGTTGTGATAAAACCAGAATCAGTCTGTTGTTTGTTTAGAAAAGTTATATATATATATGTTTTATACA